ATATCCAACACAGGCCTGGAAGCTAGAATAGGGTATATAAACAACTCCCTACACTTGACAGAGTGGGCTCGCACTGTGGCACAAAGGGTTAAGCCACTGCATGCAATGCCTGCATCCCATGTGGGAACCAGCTACCACTTCCGATCCAACTCCTTGCTTATTTATGTGCCTGGGAAAACAGAGAAAGGTGGCTCAAGTACCTGGGGCCCTGCCACCCTCATGGGAGACCCAGACTGAGTTACAAGTTCTAGGTTTTGGCCAGGCCCAGCCCCAGTCACCTGGGGAGTGAACCAGCATATGAAATCTGTTTCTCTGTAACTTCCAATTCAATTAATCTTAAAAAAAAAAAAAAAAAAAAACTTGAAAACCAAAGAATGAGACCAAAAATGAAGCTCGCACTAGAGACGCGCAAACTGATTCCAAAACTCATTTGGAAATGTAAATGCCTAAGAAGGGCCAAACAATTTTGAGAAATAAAAATAAATTTAGAGGACTTACCTGATTTCAAAACCCAATTATATCATAATCAAAACCTTGTTTTATGGAATAAAGGATCAGTTTAACCAAATAGGCTCCAGAAACAGATGCAAATGAACGTGGACAACTGATTCTGACAAAGGTACAAACACAATTCGGTGGTAAGAGTTATCTTCTTTCCTCCTAAATTTTAATTTATTCCTTTTCATCTTATTTGAAAAGCATTGAGACAGATCATCTCCTATCTCCTGGTTCACTCCACAAATGCCCACAACAACCAGGGCCAGGTCAGACTGAACCATGACCCAGAACCTCCCTCTGGTCTCCCACAGGGGTGACAGGGACTCAAGTAATTGACCCAGCATCTGCTGCCTTTCCAGATGCGCGTCAGCAGGAGGATGGACGAGAAGGCGAGCAGCTGGGACTGGAACCGAGCTCTCCAATATGCGACACAGGCGTTTCAAGCCAGAGCCCCACCCCAAGAATTACCTTTTCAATAAACAGTGCTGGGAAATGGATTTCCATATGCAAAAACAAGAACTTATTCTTACCCATTCTTTACACCACACAAAAAAATCCACTCACTATTGGCCAGTGACACAAATCTAAAAGCAAAAACTATAGAACTTCTAGAAGAAAATGTCATAAAGGTCTGTGACTTCTGGTTAGGTAACAAGTTCTTAATACAATACTGAAGCACGGGCTGGTGCCGCAGCTCAATAGGCTAATCCTCCGTCTGCGGCGCCGGCACACCGGGTTCTAGTCCTGGTCAGGGCGGCGGATTCTGTCCTGGTTGCCCCTCTTCCAGGCCAGCTCTCTGCTGTGGCCAGGGAAGGCAGTGGAAGATGGCCTAAGTGCTTAGGCCCTGCACCCACATGGGAGAACAGGAGAAACACCTGGCTCCTGGCTTTGGAACAGCGCCATGCGCCGGCCACAGTGGCCATTGGGGGGTGAACCAACGGAAAAAGGAAGACCTTTCTCTCTGTCTCTCTCTCACTGTCCACTCTGCCTGTGAAAAATAAAAAATAAAATAAAATTAAAAAATACTGAAGCACGATTGATTTAAAAAAATATTATAATGAAAGGAATGAAAAGACCAGCCCTATTCCAAGAAAATATTTGCAAATCACCTATCTGATAAACGATTCGCATCTAAAATATATAAAGAACTCTCAAAATTCAATAATAAAAAAATTACCCAGTTTTAAAATGAGTAAAAAGGGCAGGTGTTTGGCACATCCCTTAGCAGAGTCCAGGGTTCAACTCCCAGCTCCATTCCTGAGTTCAGCATCCTGCTAACACACACTCTGAGACGCAGCAGGTGACAGCTCAAGTGCCAGGGCCCCTGCCAGCACCTGGGACACTTGGGAGTTCCAGGCTCCTGGCTCCAGTGAGGCCTGGCCCTTGCTGCAGGCATTTGTGGAGTAAACCAGCAGGCCCAAAGTCTATCTTTTTCTGTCCCACTCTCACTAAAATAAAATGAAAATAAACAAGCAAACAAACAGGCAAAAGATTTGAAGAGGCATTTCAGCAAAGTAAATCCACAGATGGCAAATAACTACATGAAAAGATGTTCAACATCATTACTGAGTAGAGAAATACAAATTAAAACCACGATAAGGGGCCGGCGTTGCGGCTTAGCGGATAAAGCCTGCAGTGCCAGCAGCCCATACGGGCGCTGGTTCTAGTCCCGGCTGATCCTCTTCCAATCCAGCTCTCTGCTATGGCCTGGGAAAGCAGTAGAGGCCCAAGTCCTGGGTCCCTGCACCCACATGGGAGATCTGGAAGAAGCACCTGGCTCCTGGCTTCAGACTGGCACAGCTCGACCCATTGCAGACATCTGGGGAACGAACCAGCAGATCGAAGACCTCTCTCTCTCTCTGCCTCTGCTTTTCAAATAAAAATAAAAACACACACACAGGGGCTGGCACCATGGCGCACTAGGTTAATCCTCCGCCTGTGGTGCTGGCATCCCATATGGGCACCAGGTTCTAGTCCCGGTTGCTCCTCTTCCAGTCCAGCTCTCTGCCATGGCCCAGGAAAGCAGTGGAGGATGGCCCAAGTGCTTGGGCCCCTTCACCTGCATGGGAGACCAGGAAGAGACACTTGGCTCCTGGCTTCGGATCGGCGTAGCTCCGGCCATTGTGGCCATTTGGGAGATGAACGATCAGATGGAAGACCTTTCTCTCTGTCTCTCTCACTGTCTGTAACTCTATCTGTCAAATAAATAAATAAATAAATCTTTTTAAAAAATCACACACACACACACACACACACAGTAAGATACTAAATGCCACACACCTATTAAGACAGCTAAAATTCAACACACTGATCATCCCAGCTCCAGGGAGGGATATGGAGCAAATGGAACTTTCGCTCACTGCTGGTCCAAAGAACACGTTACAACTACTTTGGGAAACCGTTTGGAAGTATCTACAGTGTTAAGAGGGAGCAGGATTTGGCACCATGGTGAGGATGCTGTCTGGGACACCAACATCCCACACTGGTGTGCCTGAGCTCATTTCTGCTTCCAATTCCAGCTCCCTGCTAACGCACACCCTGGGAGGCAGCAGACAATGGCCCAAGTACTGAGGTCCCTGCCACGTACACAGGAGATCCAGACTGAGTTCTGGTCTCCTGGCCATGGCACAGCTTTAGCTATTAAGGCATCTGGGGAGTGAACCAGCAGATAGAAGATCTCTCTCATTCTCTCTCTCTCCCTTTCAAATATAATGAAAATTTTTTCAAAGTTAAAAAAAAAAAAAAGGTACACATGTGTCCGAGGACCGAGCCACTTCACTAATTACCCAAGAGAAATTAAAACATGCCCTCACAAAGCTTTGCTCCCAAATATCTGTAGCAGCTTATTGGTGATGGTCTGAAATGGCAAATAACCCAAATGTTTATTTGGGTAAATGGAGAAATAAAGTGTGGTAGATCCATATGATGGAATACTACTCAGAAATAAAAATGTATTACTGATACAGCAAGGCATGGAATAATGTCAAAACAGTTACACTGATAGAAGAAAACAAGACAATTTAATATACAGAGCCTTCAAAAAGTTCAAAGAGGGGCCAGCATTATGGCACGGCAGGTAAAGCTGCCACCTGTAATGCCAGCATCCCACGTGGGTGCCTACTGGAGTCCTGGCCGCTTCACTTCCCATCCAGCCCCCTGCTAACGCACCTAGGAAGGCAATGGAAGATGGCCCCAGTGCTTGGGCCCTGCACCCACGTGAGACCTGGAAGAATCTCCTGGCTTCTGCCTGGCTCAGCCCTCGCCAATGCAGCCATCTGGGAAGTATATCAGCAGATGCAAGATCGATCTCTCTCTCTCTCTCTCTCTCTCTCTGTGCTCCTCCCTCTTGCTATGTAACTCTTGATTTTCAAATAAATAAATACATCTTTTAAAAAAAGTTCAAAGAAAATGAATACTATGAAAAAACTAAGTATGGTTGTTAAAATTTTTTTGCATCAGAATACTTATATTTGAATTCCATTCTCCACAAACCTGTTGGAGTTCCCTTATGGACTGTGTAATTCCGCATATTCAACAGTCTAGAAGATCCAAACTAGGGGCAGGCATTGCGGCACAGCAGGGTAAGCTGCTGCTTAGGATACCCACATCCCAGACTGGAGTGCCTGGTGTGAGTCGCAGCTTCTCCCCCCCTCTAATCCAGCTTCCTCCCAATATGCCTGGGAAACAGCACATGACGGCACAAGTACCTGGGTTCTGCCATCCATGTGGGAGACCTGGATGGAGTTAGCAGCTCCAGGGATCAGCTTAGCCTTGCTCCAGCTACCGCAAGCCCTTGGGGAGTGAACCAGCTGGATGGAGGTCTCTCTCCCTATCATTCCATCTTTCAAATAAACAAATAAATCTTTGTTTCAATAAAGAAAAGAAACTCCAAACAAAGCTATCGCACCAGAAAGCCTGTCAGTGGCTTCATGGGATGGAAGGAATGGGAGTGAGCAGCAGAGGAAAAGGCGTTAGGAAACTTCTGGAGTAAGAAACATGTTCAAAATCTTCCTCGTGATGAGAGTCCATGAGTGTACACAAATGTCAAAACGCATCACACTTTATGTTTAAATATGTGCAATTTCTTGTATATCAATTATACCTCAATAAAACTGGGGGAGGGGAGAGACAGAGATGGGACATCATCAGTAAAAAAAAGAACAGGCACCTGGAGCCGATGCTATGGCGTAGCGAGTTAAACCGCCGTCTGCAGTGCTGGCATCCCACATGGGCACCGGTCTCAGTCCTGGCTGCTCCACTTCTGATCCAGCTCCCTGCTAATGTGCCTGGGAATGCAGCGGAAGATGGCCCAAGTCCTCGGGCCCCAGCACCCACGTGGGAAACCCGGATGAAGCTCCTGGCTCCTGCCTTCGACTTGGCCATTCGGCCATTTGGGGAGTGAACAAGCAGATGAAGACTTCTCTCTCTGCCTCTCCCTCTTCCTCTCTGTAAATCCACCTTCCAAATACATTAATAAATCTTTAAAAAAAAAAAATAGGCACCTAATTCTGGACACCAGGAACTCTTGAATCTTGTCTTGGTGTGTTCTCTCACTGTCCAGGTGCTAGTGCTGGGTGTCCATCCACACCCTACTGTAAGTGCGTAAGAGACTGGAAAGCTGTCTTTGAGGAATGAATGATGTACTTAAAAAAGGAGAAAATGACATCAAACAGAATATTCATTCTGTAATTTAAAACCCCTTGGCATAACAAATACCTCTATTTTAGATTCCAGGTGATTTTTCTTTGGTTTCTTTAAATTTTTTGTACTTTCTAAATTGTGTACAAACAGTACTTATGCTGTTTGGAGAGAAAAATAGCTATTCAGGAATCAATCTGTATTCTCCATTAGGAACCATTCAAGGGGCTGGCACTGTGGCATAACAGGTAAAGCCACTGTCTGCAGCATCAGCATCCCATACAAGTGCTAGTTCAAGATCCAGCTGCTCCACTTCCAATCCAGTTCCCTGCTAATGCACCTGGGAAAGCAGAGGAAGATGGCCCGAGTACTTGGGCCCAAGCACGTACATGGGAGACCTGGAAGCAGCTCCTGGCTCCTGGTATATGCCTGGCCCCGCTACGACCATTACGGCCATTTGGAGACTGAACCAGCAGATAGAAGATCTCTCTGTCTCTCCCTCTCTCTGTAACTTTCTCTTTCAATAAATAAATAAATCTTTAACCCCCTCCCCAAAAAAAGAGACTAAGGAGGTTTTTTTTTTTGATCCTGATCATTAACAATTAGCACAAGTATACACACATGAGTAGTCTGAGCATAACTTTACTTCAAAGAACAGGGAAACTTCATTTATAAAGGGTAAAGGATATTTACAAGATATAAAGGTCATAACCTAAAAAATGGATATTCTATAAATTCTGAACCTCATTAATTAACCACTGAGTTAGCATCCTCATAGGTTCACCTAATTAAAGACCGTTCACAATGTTTGAACTGCTTTTCTGCCCTGGGGGGTTGAGGATGCAGCTCCCATGCTAAAGGCAGAACTCTCCAAGGACACCAGGACACGGGGCAGCACTGAGGGGTGACACGGCTCCTCTCTCCACTATGGCTCAGCAGCCTGTCAGTCAGTCAAGCCCTCCAACAAAGGATGAGGCTGGGAAAGGCAGGAATTCTTAACCCTGCTTGTCCCAAACTGTTACTATCAGACACTGCGGTCACACTGTCTAACAAGCAGGGAAACCAGCGTGGGGAGGTTGTGGTGCAGAAATGCTAAATGCAGGTGAAGTGTTTCTTTTTTCAATACTGTCACAGTAGGAGCAAAACGCTTTATGCAACTTGCATACGAATCCTCAGAGTCCTCTTCCTCTTTGTTTTCTCAAAGAATAAACGATCAAATACCTTAGCGATCAAATACCTTGACTTAATTCTTCATTGTCACCCCAGAGAAAAAAAAATCAAGGTAGGTTATTTTTCCACAATTCTGCAAACATACCAGGACACAGACCACTTACATGTCTTGGAGTGTTCATGTGATAGCATGTAATTGGCGAGAGGCGGCGTGTAGGTTAGACACTGCAGGGCTGCATTGGCAAAGCAGGTATTGCCCAAATTCTGGAGCCCAGCTCCAACTCTGTGAGTTTGTTGCCACTTAAGACAAATCTTCTCAGATGGAAAAAGAACTTTTTGTGGAGGAGCAATGCCATCACCTAGGGCTAGAAATAGAAACACATGTTTTAAAACAGAGCTTTGCAGGCTTCTTCCAAAACTAAACAAATAGCAACACTTGATCAAACCTGAATCTGATCAAGATTCTAAACCTCATCACCAGTGTGCCGGAACTAGAGGGGAGACAAGGACATTTTAAAAGACAGACTCCAGAATGTAGGAAACTCTACATGATTTGGTTTTTTCAATAAATAAACTGCAAGAATAAAAAGGGGAGAAGGTTACACACTAAAAGAAACTTAAGAGGGGTCGGCGCCATGGTGCAGGAGAATTCTCTCTCTGCCTGCTGCACGGGCACACCATATGGGTGCCGGTTCTAGTCCTGGCTGCTCCTCTTCCAATCCAGCTCTCTGCTGAGGCCTGGAAAGGCAGAAGATGGCCCAAGTCCTTGGGCCCCTGCACCTGTGTGGGAGACCGGGAAGAAGCTCCTGGCTCCTGGCTTTGGATTGGCACAGCTCCAGCCACTGTGGCCATTTGGAGAGTGAACCAACAGAAGGAAGACCTTTCTGTCTCTCCCTCTCACTGTCTGTAACTCTACCTCTCAAATAAATAAAATCTTTAAAAAAAAAAAAAGAAAGAAAGAAACTTAAAAGACATCCCACCCAGTGCAAAGTGTAGACCCTGTCACAATGCTTTCTACAGCCAACTGCTGACAAAGGATGATGGGACAACCAGGGAGACAGAACACTGACTGCATTACTAATACAAAGACTTTATTTTTCAGAGACAAATCCTTTAGATACACAACTAGCATATTCAAAATTGAAATAGGAAGTATCAGACTTGCTTTAAATAATGGGGGGGGGGGGTTAACTGGCATAATTGGCCATGAGTTGACGTCCAAGTGACTGATGGTTACATGAGATTTCTCTTAACTACTGTCTTATAGTCACTTAAAATTTTTCTAAATAAAGTTTTTTTTTTTTTTTTTAATTTATTCGAGAGGCAAAGAGAGACAGACAGAGCACTCATTCACTGGATCACTCCCTAAATGCCAACATGGGCCTGGGTTGGGCTGTCAAAGCTGAGAGCCTGGAACTCAATCCTGGTCTCCCACGTGGACGGCAGGAACTGTTATCTGAACCATCCCCGCTGCCTCCCAGGATCTGCACTGGCACAAGTTGCAATCAGGAGCCAGAGCTGGGGCTCAGATTCAGGCACGCAACTGTGACTCTAAATGCCCACTCCTAATAACAGGTTTTCAAAAGGAAGTGACGCCACCATCAATGGAGCAGGGGTCAAGCCCCTCCCTACACATCCAGGCGATGTCTAAATGGTACTTAGAGAGCTCACGAGAATCACTAGGCACGGGGTCTCTGTCTGCACAACCCCAGCAGCAGGTGGTCAAGGAGGCAGCACACTCCACCTTACAGTTAACTTCGTAAGCCTTTATTTGTACGCATCTATAGCTTTAACTTGTCATTTCATTTTTCCATGAACTCTGAAGTACCCCCTACATTCAGTACCACTGTCATGTCACTGAGCGGACTCTCCCCAGGACCCAGGCGGGCTCAGTTCTGATCCCAGCAGCAGATTTACCACCACGGTTCTGAACTCAAGCCGTCAGTCACCACCAGACACACCGGTAAGCATGCTGTACGTGGCCTAAAGGGTCTCGTCCACGTTCAAGCCTTTTACAGATTCCTGGTAACCACACATGCGATCAGAACTCAGGGGAAGCTCAGCGACAGCTTACTGAGCAAAGCTCAAAATCACCCACAGCCAAGCCCAGCTTTTCAGAGGCCTGCCAGCTCCTCGGCACACGACAGGCGGGCATGCTCCGCAGAGGCTGAGCACTCAGACACAGACAGGCCTCAGCTCTGGAGGGACAGACAGCAAGACCAGGAAAAGGGAGCGAGCTGCGGACGGTGGGGAGGGACCCCTCAGGACGGCACAGTGGGAGATGTGAGCCAGGGAGGCTGGAGATGTGGAGAAGGTGTCCTGTGGGAAACGAGTCAAAGGAGCTAACCCTCAACGAGGCACAGCCCAGCAAGTAGCTTGTGTTTTGTGGTATCCACTTTGCTTCCACTCAGAACACCTTCAGCAAACCAAACCACCTCTCTCCCCCACAACAAACCAGGTGACTCCAAACAGAAGAGACGAGTTATTCTACGCCAAACAACGCCCTCAGTAGAAACTCTATCACCCTTCTTTGGATGTCAAATCTTCAAGTCTTAAAATTCAAAAAATCTTAGAAGGACCAACTAAAAGTGTCAATGTCTCATTTATCTGGGTGAATTTTAACATATGTAACCACATTTGTAATATTTTAACAAACGTAACATTTGTATCATCTGCTCTGTCACAAGGAGCTTTATTAGTAGTACAGCTGGTTTTTAACAGCAAAAAAACATTAGCCAGGGAGAGCCTGTTTGCTACAGGGGTGGGGAACATCCGGCCCACGGGCCACAAAGGCCCACAAAATCATTTAATCTGGCCCTGCCAAGGCAAGCCCAGGAGGTACTCAAAATTCAATAAATCCATAGCAGGCTACTTTTTAGGTTGGTAATTTTGTATGGCCCATAACAAATGATGTCTAACTATCCAAATGGCCCTTGGCAGGAAAAAAGGTTCCCCACCCCTAGAAAGGCAACCATTTAAAAAAAAAAATAATCTTTAAATTTTTAAAGAAATCTACTTAGAGAACTATAACAACTACTGGGTAGCTGAGCAGTCAAGGTAATTTAACTTGCCCATCCCAAGTCTCAGAAGGATAAAGTGGCTCACTAGGCTAATCCTCCACCTGCAGCACTGGCACACTGGGTTCTAGTCCCGGTTGGGGCGCCGGACTCTGTCCCGGTTGCCTCTCTTCCAGGCCAGCTCTCTGCTGTGGCCCGGGAAGGCAGTGGAGGATGGCCCAGGTGCTTGGGCCCTGCACCCACAAGGGAGACCAGGAGAAGCACCTGGCTCCTGGCTTCAGATCGGTGCAGTGCGCTGGCCGCAGCGTGCCGGCCTTTGGAGGGTGAATAAACGGCAAAAGGAAGACCTGTCTCTCTCACTGTCCACTCTGTCAAAAATAAATAAATAAATAAAGCTCCTGGATCCTGATCGGCACAACTCCAGCCGTTGCGGCCATCTGGAGAGTGAACCAATGGATGGAAGACATTTCTCTCTGTCTCTACCTTTCTCTGTAACTCTTTCAAATAAATAAATCTTTAAAAATAAAAATAATTTTTTTAAAAATTAGAAACAAAACAATTATTAATATCCTAGTATCTTAATTATGAACATGGAACAGAGCACAGTGACATGCATCCCATAAACAAAGCACCTGCGCGGGGACCAGGGATGAGCCCCTCTCTGGACCCGCACACCACCAACAGCACGCACACAGAAAATCTCTGGCAGGGCCTTTACAGAAAGCAGTACCTTGGTCTTTCTGTGGTGATGGCTTTGATTTATCAGCTACAGAAGAATTCGAGTAAACTACAGCACCAGGTACTGGTCCTAAAGGAAGGGTGTGGTTTGCCACGTCATTTAATGAAGACACAGCACCCCAGCTGGCAGAACCTGCATCCATGTCTCCAGGCGAGACTGCCTCCGAACTGCCAGGTGGGTTCTGATAGGCCGATGGGTCTGAAGGTTCAGCTTTGTCAACTATGGTCATTGTTCAACTCTGCAAAAGACAAGAACATACAGTGTTTCATGAAGTGAGAAAAGTCATCCATTCACCCTATCATCAGATCCTGGAAAGCTATTCTCACCACTTCCAATTATTTTTAAACAAATCACTCAAACATCCTTGGAACATACAACACCATGTAAATCTAAAAGTGTCAACAATCTTTATTTTAAAACCTTCAAAGAAGTATTTGATCAGAAGAACTTCTCATTCTATTCCATGTCCCCTCAAAGTCTGATTTTCCATTTATAATTAAGCACCTCAATTTCCAATTCTATATATTTACTATATAAGTACCTATTTTCTCCTCTCCACTGCTTACAACTAGAAACAGTATACACACTGATGGATTTGACTACATTTCCAATTCACATATACTTCCTCAGGGAACAATCTCAACTACTTGGAAGAGAAAGATCTAACTTTAACTGTGATCTTGAAGTACAAACTGACACTGCATGAAAAATATGACATTCCAAAAAAAGTATAATTATGGGAAGTCTCGCCTATGAAATAAAACCATTTGTCTGAAGAGCTTCATTTGTATGGTATGTATGATTTATTTTTAAATGAAACTCATAAGACATCAAACCTGAACACAAATGCATTACAAAACTACTTCGTTTTCTCTTTGAATTCTATTTTAAAATCTACTAATTGAGCAGGCGGTTCATTAGCCACTGAAGGCACGTTAACCTGTTTAATGTTAGAATGAACCTCGGAGAGACGCGAGAAGCCACGGTAAGCCAGAAGACTAGGCAGCTGGGCCTGGAGGACAGGTCTAGCACTCCCTGCTGGGCTCCCTCAGGGACATCCCACCCGGTGAGCAGAGCACTTTCAGGAATGTGTCTGCAACTGCCCAAGGGCAGCCAAACCTAGAGCTGACCCTCCCCTGCTCACCTTGCTTGGGAGTGACCCGTCAGCCTGCCCACGGCACAGTGGCCTAACACCTGGACGGGCACTCTCTGACCCAGGAACCTCCCCAAACTACCCCACATTCCCTTCCCAGCTCACCCTAGGCTCTGCCTTTTCCAACCTCCCAGCATTGCCAGCTCACACTGCTGAGTTCAGAATTCATTTCCTCAGACACCTTCCTGACAACCCCCTTCCCAACACTGGGGGAGAAAGCCCTCCTCCAAGCTCACCGCACCAGGCCTGTGGCTCTCCAGCGCTCACCCCACAGCACCCAGGCCTTGTACTTGTTGCTATCACGTTCTCATTTACATCTGAACTGAACAAATGAGTGAACAAATCCTGAAAGCAGGAAATAGCCAGCACTTGCTCTTAGCACCAGCCTGTGCTGAGGGGTTCATATGTATCTTCTTTAATCCTTAAACTCAGAAGTAGGAACAGCCTTTAAAATCTGCTTTAAGAAATGTATCCAACACAGTAAATACAAAGGACAATGCACATGCCACTCCAACGAACATTATAAATACTGCACTGGATATTGTAAAAGCCTTAAATTTGTTGTCTGATTTTTAATTAACATTGCCACCCCCAAAACATACAGCTGTAAAGTTTTTGAAATCTTCTGTAGAAACAGTAAAGTAGAAGTTAATTAGGTCTTAATGAACTAAGAAAAAAAACTGAATTAAAATTTTAAAACAATTAAAGATCTGTGACCCTCATTCAGGAAGCTTGAGCTGTGTCACCCAATAGAGTTTACCCTTCCTTATTTAACAGTCAAAAGAAATTATGAAACCAGCGTGGGGACAGGAATAAGAAACAAAATAAGAGGAAGAAAAGGAAGAAGAAAATCAAAACAAAGTAGCAAGACAAGGCTAAATGGGCCCTGGCTAAATGGGCCCTACCTACAGTAACATTAACTAACGGCAAACCCTGCTTTCCCCGGCATAAACATCCCTTCAGGACAATCATTAACAAACAACCAAATAAAACCGTTTTTACTTGCTCCAATAACCTTTTGGAAAGAAAAGCAACTCTTTGAAAAAAAAAAAAAAAGCCTCAAGCGTCAATCAGCCTTAATTTTGGATCAATGAAGTCTCACCTGAAGCCATCAGGTGCCACACTCAACCCCAAATGCTGCAGAGATAACCCTTCCTGAAGCCAAACAGTGTCGAGTAGGACTTACCAGTCACCTAAAAGGCACTTCAAAAAATTCTTGGAAAATGAGATTAAAGCTATCTTTGTTTTAGCGCCAAAAAAAAAATTCAAAATCCACACACACAAGGGGTCTTCAAAAGTTCACGGAAAATGCGTACAATGAAAAAACTGCTCATGGATATCAAAATTATTTCACAGCAAAACACACCTCTCTCTTAATTCCCTTTTCCCAGAACTTTCTGAAGTGCTTGTTGCGTTCTTTACTCTCCTTAGCACGCCCGTCATGAAAGTTCAGGGCTTTAAAGCAATTACATCAACGGAGAGTTGAAACTTCTCTCAACATCTTTGGATGCTAACACAAAAAGTTACAAAGGCATGTTTAAAACACACACGGAATCAAGGCGGGGGTTTGTGTGCAGGAATGACAGTCACAGATGATGCCTTCCTTCCCCAGGCCCTCCCACTCCAACCCCCTATGGTGACCCAATCTGAGAACGCCTTATTCTACTTTTTTTTTTTTCCTAAAGATTATATCACCATGTAAACAGTGTAGCAATCCACACACACACTGAGGCGGTATCAACACAGCTAAAAAGAAACTGTTATCACTGTGCTTCTACATAATGTAATCCACATTCTTGTAGCATTTCCGTTTTAGAAGAAAAACATACACAAGGTTTAAGAAAAAAAAAAAAAAAAGATACAACCTGGGCTCTGATTCTACTTAGGCAAACAAACGATTAGCCCTTAAACCAAATACTTACTGTAGACTTGATTCAGGGGTACAGAAAAGAAAGTGAAACTGACCCTAAGTAAAAACAAATAAGTGAAACTCATTATTCACATCCCCTATGCACTTTGAATGAGTTAATACAGTAAAAAAAATTTTAAAAAGTACAATGAACGCTTAAAACGTGCAACTGTGAAAAATGTTGAGCCTCCACCAAAAAAAAAAAAAAAAAAAAAGTATGGGGATCTCTCCAACCCCGATGCTAACTGGGACCAGGGTCCGGGCCGCGTGTGGGTTCCCCATCACCAACGCGGCGCCCCCCACCACCCCCACCAGCAGCAGCAGCCGGCCCTGAACACCCATTCAACAAAAAGTCATCCCCACTGCACCCACTGCAGAGAGAGGTTCAAGTCCCGCAGCGGAAAACTTCCGTCGCCACCAAAAAAAAAAAAAAAAATTATTATTATTTCCCCCCTCTTTTGGAACGTCCGAAAGGGACCCCTCTCCCCCCGGGCGGCCCGGCTCTCCCTGCGCCCCGAGATAAAGGACGGGCACCGAGGCACACATGGTTTTGGGGACGCGCCGCCCGGCTCCGGCTCCGCCTCTCGCCCGCCCCGCAGCCTCCCCTCGGGGTGCCCGCTGCGCCCGGGCCGGCCGGCCGGCCGGCGTGGACAAGTCGGCGGCCGCGGACAGGTGGACGGGCCCCCCGCGCGAGCCCCGGCCCGGGGAAGGGGGCGTCGGGGTTGCCAAAGTTTGTCTCCGCGAGGGGCGGAGTGGGGGTGGGGAGGCGAGCCCGCAAGCCGCGAGGGGCGCGGGGGCCGGCGGGCCCGGGGCTCCGCGGCCGGCACACGCCCACCCCGGCCGACCCCAGCCGGCCGGGCCGCCCGGAGCCCGCACGGCCCCGCGGGCCGAGGGGGCGGGCTGGGGCCGGCGGGGGTGGAAGGGCAGTGTCCATGGCAACCAGGGGGGTCCGGCCTCCCGCGCAGCCCCGCTCCCCCGGCGCCCGGCCGCCGCCCCCTCCCCAGCGGCCTGGCCCGGCCCCGGCGCGGTCGCGGCGCTGCCCCCCCACCCCCGGCGCGGCGGGGTCCCGGGCGGCCCCGCGGCAGCGGAGGGGGTGGCGGGAGAGGGGCCGCGCCAGCCTCCCGGCGGGCCGCGCCGGCTAAGGGGCGGCCGGGCCGGCTGCGGCCGAGGCGAGCGGAGCGCTCGGCGGGCCCCACGCCGGACTGCGGCAGGCGGGAAGGAGGCGGGAGCTTACCTGACCCGGCTCGGCGCTCGCTCCATCCCCCTCGGCCGCCGCCGCCGCCGCCGCACACAGCCCTGCCGCCCGGCGGGGGACAATGACGTGCCTCCATCCGGGCACCGCCGCCGCCGCCTCCGGGTCAGCGCCGCGCCCGCAGCGCCCCGCCGGGCCGCCAGGGGGCGCGCCAGGGCCGCGCCCGCACGCGCCTCCGCCCAGGGGCCGTCGCCGAAGAGGCGCGCAGCTAACGGGCCCGGCGAGCGCGGGAGGGGTCCGTCGCCAAAAGGGCGGCGGGCGCGGGCCGGCCTGGCGCGTCAGCAGAGCGCCGGCCGAGGGGGCGCGCTGATTGGCTGAGGCGGGGCGCGGCGCAGGCCCGGGGAAGGGCTGCTTCCGTTCGGGGCTGCCGGGAGCAGGCGCCCGGACGCTGAGGGCGCTGGAGGCCGCCGGAGCGCTGACGAGACGAGGCGGCGCGTGAAGCTTCCCGCGCGGGCGCTCCCCTCAGGGCCGCCGGACCCCATCGCGGCGCCCCGCTCACCCGCGCCGGCTGCAGACGCTGGGCTCCAGGAAAGGCGGAGGGGATTTGAAGCCGGGCTCCGGAACGGGGTAGACGCCCACCTGGTCTGGATTCCGTCTCGGCTCCCGGCGTTCCGCGTTCTCCGAGGGCCAGATCCAAGCCTGGACGGCCCCGGGACGAGCTGGACCCAGAGCTCCTGCGCCGCGGCGGCTCCTGCCCGTCAACGGATCCCCCAGCCTTGATGAGGGACCGGACCTGGGTCTTGGGGCCCCACGCGAGCTGACCCCCAAGGCCTGTCCGGAGTCCGTGGTCCTAGCCCTCCGAGAGGCAGCCTGCCTTCTCAGGATCCCATCAACCTTTATTTATTTGCGACCAGGATGACCCTTCAAAGCCACAAATCCCGACCCCACCCCCAGCACGCCCTGTCCTACCCTACTCCCAAGTCTGCTCTGCTTCCTCGGGTCTCCCAGGCTTAGTGCTAACTAACCTCCCCACCCCTCCGTGTAGGTGGCAAGGGTCTTTCCTGGTAGCAGTTATTTTGCTGTCTTTACGGAAAGAAGTTGAAGGGAAATGTCACTCGTGGGTCTCGAGCAGACTGCTGAAGTATTTTGAGGAAACAAAGACGGGGAAAGGTGAATTCCAAACATTTAAAAAAAAAACTCTCCAGTGCCCGCTTTGAGGATTAGCCACAGCTTTCTCCCGGGGGAAAAGCCTGTTAAGGGATTTCAGGCTATTAGGAGATTTACGGGAACAGAATTGCCATAGGTGATGGGCTCAGCAGTTCGCTTGTCTCTTCCAGATGACTTTCAGACGATTAAATCGGAATGCCAAGGAACTTAATATGCACCTGAGCTTCGTGGGGCTTGGAAATGCCACCCTAAGAAGGCACATTGGGAGCCTGGCTTCTAATTTCGTCTTTCACATTCTGTTGAATTGCCCCTTCGGCGTGCCCCTTGAATCTCACTACAGTACCTGAGCAACTTGAATAGGAAAAGGGATTAGGGTGGAAAAATCAGCCCTTGGAGCTCTCCAGCCAAAACGTGCTCTTGGAGGGGAACTTGCACCCTCCTGCCATAGAGCAAACACAGAGGCCCTTTCCTTCTAGAGTTCTTGCAAACTGTGTGACCTACGGGAGCTGCACTTAGCCTGTCTCCTCCTCTAACCAGCACGGGCCACGCTAGAGGCAGTGCCAAGTGCCTGCATCCTCACCCGGAAGAGGTGATCAGGGAGCAAAAGATGTGCCAGTGAAGGAAGAATGAGCCGGCGCTGAGCTCAACAGGCTAATCCTCTGCCTTGCGGCGCCGGCACACTGGGTTCTAGTTCCTGTCGGGGCGCCGGATTCTGTCCCGGTTGCCCCTCTTCCAGGCCAGCTCTCTGCTGTGGCCCAGGAGTGCAGTGGAGGATGGCCCAAGTGCTTGGGCCTTGCACCCCCATGGGAGACCAGGAGCAGCACCTGGCTCCTGCCATCGGATCAGCGCGGCGGCCATTGGAGGGTGAACCAACGGCAAAGGAAGACCTTTGTCTCTCTCTCTCACTGTCCACTCTGCCTGTCCAAAAAAAAAAAGGAAGAATGAGATTTTCTGAGGACCACTTCACACTCAGGGAACCTACAGCAGGCACTGTTAATGCCCTCTCCCGATAGCCTTTTACTGGCTCCTGCCCACCATGAGTGTTGGCCACCCCCGTTCTGGCTGAAGGGGAGCGTCGTCTTCCGCTGAGAGCCCATCCTTGCTTCTCCCTGCCGTGCCCTCTCTCACTGGCTTCCTTTCCAGAGCACTCCCTTAATATATCACTTGCACCAAGATTCTCTACCTAGCCCAGGAATGGTCCCAAGAAGCGAGTGTAAGGGCAGGATTTCAGGCGATGGGTGGGATGCTGAGAACTGAGTGATTGTGTCTGGCTCCCACCTGGGGAACCATACACTGGGAAAGGGGAACATTCAGACTGCAGACTCCGAGTTAACGCAGTCAACTGGAGACCTTAAGCACCCTCAGGACTTCATTGCTGGGGAGCCAATGAATACACTGTGTCCTGACCCAGCTTCCTCACTGGGCTCGCTGCTGGTTTCCTTGGTTCCAAATGTAGCCCTCAAATGGCCACCTTAGCAGTTCCTGGCCTTGTAGAATTGCTGTGGAGAAAGCCAACTGGAAGCCCCTGTAGCTGCACTCTGGCCAAGAGAGTAATTCTTGGGGTGAGTGGCAGAGAACAGTGCCAGCCACACAGAGTTGTGGAGCACACACATGCCAATCCCGTTCACCAGTGTGGCCTCTGCAAAAAAACGGATAGCTCATGAGAATGACGGCGAAGTTGTGCAGACTCAGTCATCAAGGACTCTTAGTGCCAGCTTCATGCCCCCACTTCCCACTGCATCCCTCGGAGCCCTTCAACGCCCACAACACAGCGGAGTAGTTTTTGCAATCTCTTGGTCGATCCTTTGTTGACTAGGCTCAGTTGGTCCTAAGTCCCTCACACCAAATTTGAACTAAGTCGTTCACCTCCAACAGATTTTACTCATAACCAGTGTGAACAAACGTGGAAGAAATGAAATACACAACCAGCAAAAAAAAATTAGTTAGCCATAAAATATATTCAAAAGTATCTACTGGGGCCGGCACTGTGGCATAGTGGGTAAAGCTACTGCCTACAGTGCCAGCATCCCATATGGGAGCCAGTTTGAGTCCTGGCTGCTTCACTTCCTATCCAGCTCTCTGCTGTGGCCTGGGAAAGCAGCAGAAGATGGCCCAAGTCCTTGGGCCCCTGCACCCATGTAGGAGACCTGGAAGAAGCTCCTGGCTCCTGACTTTGGATCCACACAGCTCCAGCCGTTGCAGCCATTTGGGGAGTAAACCAGCAGATGGAAGTGTCTGTCTGTCTGTCTCTCTCTCCCCCCTCTCTGTAACTCTGAGGGAGGAGGAAGGAGAAAGATGAGAGAGAATACCTTCCTTTCACTGATCAAGTGTTCCGATGACTGTCAGTAGACTTGTCCTGGCAGCCCATGTAGAGACTCAGTCATCACATGGTGTCTGGGAACAAAGACAGCAGGTGTAAATTCTGCCTCCAGCTTTTCTTTATGAGTTGAGTTCTTTGAGTCTTGCTTTGGTCTCTCGTGAAAGGAAAGACTGGTTGAATTTATCAAAGCCAATTTTATCCTGATGGATAATTAACACTCCTTCCCTCAAAGCCAGTATAAGGCATTGATGCCTGCAAGTTTTCAAGGTGGGTCCTGGTTGATCTTCTGAGGGAAGGGAACCTGAAGCCACAGCTGGCCACATCTTAGACCTGAGATGGTTACTTTCAGGGGACACAACCCAAGCTTCTCGTTTGTGAATTGTCAAAATAATAATTTAGAACTCAGCAAGCCAGGCATTGGAGATGCCACCCCTTCTCTCCACAGACCCTTTTGTGTTGGAACCCGCAGGTCTGCACAGTTAGTTACAACACACAGTCACACGTTTCCAAATGAAGAAGGCAATCACAGGGGAAAGGGGGTGGGTTTAACCCAGGCATGGATTCTGTTCAGGACAAGTTTACAGAGAAGGTGATCAGCCCTTGAAGATTAAGTAACACTCTCACCCCCACCACCAGGTAAATGAAGTCTGGGAAAAGGATGCAAACATTCTAGGAGCGAATGTCAACTGGAAGAAACAATGTTCCTCTCTTATATCCTTCCATGGCCCTTGGGTTTCAGAAAGTGCAGCAGAGGGAGAGAATCAGAGAGAGAGAGAGAGCAGTCTTCCTATCTATCTTCCTTCCGTCTGGTTCACTCCCCAGATGGCCCTGGCCCAAGCCCGGATCTCCATCTGGGTCTCCCACATGGGTCCGGGGGCCCAAGCACTTGGGCCATCTTCCGCTGTTTCCCCAGGCACAGTAGCAGAGAGCTGGATCAGTAGTAGAGGAGAGGGGACTCCAACTAGCACCCATATGGGATGTTGGTGTTGCAGGTGGCAGTTTAACCTGATGCTTCACAGTGCCAGCACCGCAACAAAGCTGTTGATGAACACACTCAACACGGAGCTGTGTAGAATTTCTTTTTCTTGAAACCATTCACTCAGCAAACAAGCACCTAGAATCAGCTCTGGAAGTCTGGAAGAGAAACATGGGATCAGTCCCAAACAGAGCCTGTCCTCCGTGAGCTTTCAGGATGTTTATATAAAGCATCAAGCGATTAATGACGACGAGGGTGAGGGACTACAGAAAAGACTTCCCTGGCAGAAGGCAGATTGAGATTTAGCAGGAAGGGCTCAATGAAACCGGGGAACTGGGGACAGGAAAAACTCAGAGAGGAGAGATTTGTGGGGACAGAGATGTGCAGAGGAATCCAAGAGAGGAAGGGAGAACCGATGTCCAATTCACCTTGATGGACATTTGAAGAAGGCAACTCACACAACTTCAGCAGATCCGTTTCTCAACAAAGCACAGCAAGTTAGGCTGGCATCCCATATCAGAGAACAGGTTCTAGTCCCATTGTGCAGTTTCCTATCCAGCTTCCTGCTAATGCACTTGGTATAGGAGCAGATGATCGCCCAAATACTGGGACCCTGACACCGAGAAGGGAGACTCAGACAGAGTTCCTGGTTCCTGGTTTCAGCCTGTCCAGCACAGGCTATTGTGGCCATATGAGGAGTGAACCAGTAGATGGAAGATTCTCTCCCTCTCTCTCTCTCTCTCTCTATATATATATATATGTATATGTATGTATGTATCCCCATATGGGATGCTGACACTGCAGGTGATGGCTTTACCTGCTATGCCACAGTGCTGGCCCCCATAAATAAATCTTAAAAAAAAAAAAGTACTCTAAGCCAACTCTGTCCCAAACTTTTCTATGGCAGTGATAAAGACCTGTGTTGTCGAGGCGCCATGTCCGGCCGGGAAGGTGGCAAGAAGAAGCCCCTGAAACAGCCCAAGAAGCAGGCCAAGGAGATGGATGAGGAAGATAAGGCTTTCAAGCAAAAACAGAAAGAGGAGCAGAAGAAACTCGAGGAGCTAAAAGCGAAGGCTGCGGGGAAGGGCCCCCTGGCCACAGGTGGAATTAAGAAATCTGGCAAAAAGTAAGCTGTTCCTTGTGCCTGAAGTGATGACGCCCTTGATTGCATTCTTAGCTAAACATCTCGATTCCCGGCCATAACATCTTATACCACCGTAGTTAGAATGAAGTGTTAAGAGTTAAGTGTTATCTTGGAGCCTGTTGTACATTTACAAATAAAATTTTGTAAAAAGGGGAATAAACCCCACTGTACTGTAAAAAAAAAAAAAAAGACCTGTGTTGTCTAACAGAGTAGCTGGGGACACACAGAGCTGGTGCACACTTGAATTGTGGCCTGAAGGAGGTGGTGCTATGGTCTAGAAGTTTAAGCCTCTGCAGTGCTGGCATCTCATATAGGTGCCGGTTCGAGTCCCAGCTTCTCTACTTCTGATCCAGCTCCCTGCTAATGTGCTTTGGAAAGCAGTGGAAGATGGTCCAAGTGCTTGGGCCCATGTATCCACATGAGAGTCCTGAAAGAAGTTCCTGGCTCTTGGCTTCGGTCTGGCCCAGCCTTGCTCATTGAGGTCATTTGGGGAGTGAACCAGCGGATGAAAGATTCTCTCTTTCTCTCTCTGTATCTCTGCCTTTCAAATAAATAAATGAATCTTAAGAAAAGAAAAGAAACACAGTCTAAGGAACTGGATTTTCAATTTTATTTTTAAACAATTTGTAATGTCCAGTGTAGCTACTTTACTACTATTGGCAGAAGTCTGTTATCCTGGTTACAGTCTATTCACTGTAGTGTTCTCTTTTCTTTTTTAAAAGGAATCTGTTTATACATTAGTTTCTCAGGATCAAAGCAAATGCATGCTGATCACTACAACACAATTCTCATCATTCACATGTTAATGTGATATCACATGTTAATGTGATATTAATACATGTTAATGTGATATTAATACAAAGAGATTCAATGTGGTTAATAGAATTATAAGACTATAATGATGCTACCCTTTTTCCCTCCCTCCCTTCTCATTTCTCTTAACTCTTTAAAAGATGTATGTATTTATTTGGAAAGCAGAGGGACCGAGAGGGAGAGACAGATTTCTCTATTGACTGACTCACTTCCTGAATGCCTACAGGGTCCCAGGCTGGGCCAGGCGAAAACTGGGAGCCAGGAACTCAATCCAGCTCTCCCATGTGATGGCAGGGACCCAAGTACTTGAGCCATCACCTGCTGCCTCCTAGTGTATACACTATCAGGAAGCTGGAATCAACAGCAGGGCTGGGACTCAAATCCAGATGCTATGATGTGGGCAGCCAAAGGCCTGCCCTGAGACCTTCCTTTTTCTTTCTTTCTTACTCCTTTCCTTTATTTATTAGATTTATTTATTTATTTGAGAGGCAGAGTTACAGAGAGAGAGAGAGACAGAGAGAGGTCTTCAGTCCACTGGTTCACTCCCCAGATGGCCACAATGGCCAGAGCTGAGCTGATCTGAAGCCAGGAGCCAGAAGCTGCTTCCGGGTCTCCCAAACGGGTACAGGGGCCCAAGCGCTTTTTCCATCTCCTGCTGCTTTCCCAGGCCATAGCAGGGGACTCATACTGGAGCCCATATGGGATGCAGTGTTGGAAGCAGAGGCTTTACCCTCTACACCACAGCGCCAGCCCCTAAGGGCTTCCTTTTCCAATGTAGGCATTACAGCTATCCATTTCCCTCTGAGAATTTATTTCAGTAGAAGTCAAAGTTTACATGGCTGCTATTTTTCTGTTTTCATTCATCTCAAAGTATTTGTTATTAAGTTTCTGAGTCCTTCTTTGACTAATGTGTTTAAAAATGTATTGTAGGGACAGGTATTTGGTCTGGTAGTTATGACGGTGGTTGAACTTGTAGGACTGAAATGGAGAACACCAGACTCCCATGGGACACTTGCTGAATGGGGACAGGTAACTCAATAGGCATCGTATGTCCTCAAATTAGGTTGTAATTGTGATGACATTGATTCCAAAGGGATTCTCTCTGGAACATAATAAATTGCTCATAGGATAAATATATAATACCTTTTAATTAAGTTATATGTGCAATGTAATGAATCCCAAGAGGATCCCCTCAGGAAATTAGTAGAAATGTTTTAAGCACTCCCCAAGCAATAAACATATTAGGCTCTGAGGATAGCCGTATGCAGTAGCCATCTTCCTCCCCAATTTACTCTTTCATTCATTCATTGATTTTTTTGCAGCTGCTGAGCATAAAAAGATGCCATGAGACAGAAAAAAATGAAGAGTAAGAGATGTACAAATAGTCCTCGTATTATTGGATTTCCAGATGCTTCTATGGGAGGGAGTTGGAGGTGGGGAGAGAAGGACGCTGCTCTGAGAAAATGAACGATTATGGTGAGCTGTGCTGATCGCCTTTGGGGGTGGATTTGGGTGCTGTGAGAGGCACTAGACAAACCAGATCACAACTGATGAAACTGGCTTCAAAGCGATGGGATTGGGTGAGTGGAAGGCTGTGAGAGGAACAGTACAGATTGAATAATGTCCTTGTTCTTCTCGATCTTGACAGACTTGGCATCCTTCCTTCGGGCCACGAGCAGGAAGTCCTTGATCTCTTCAATTTTCCGGGGCATGGCAGCGAGGCCACAAACCAGCACAGCAGGCAGCAAGAAAAAAAGATTTTATTTATTTGGAGGCAGAGTTACAGAGAGAGAGAGAAGGAGAGACGGAGAGAAAGGTCTTCCATCTGCTGGTTCACTCCCCCAAATGGCTGCAGCAGGCTAAACTGGGCCAGGCTGAAGCCTGGTGCAGGGACCCATGCACTTGGGCCATCTTCTGCTGCTTTCCCAGGCGCATTAGCAGGGAGATGCACTGGAAGTGAAGAAGCCAGGACTCAAACCAGCACCCGTAAAGGATGCCAGCACTGCAGGCGGCGGCTTAACCTGTGACACCACAGCTCTGGCCCCCAAGTTTATCTTTTGATTCCATCTTCCACAGACCTTTGGAAGCACCCTTGTGTACACATCTCCCTTCAGGCCGTGTTCTTGTGAGCTCCTGGCTGCACTGATTCCACCATCGCAGCGTCTACATTGTTAGGACACTGCAGATCCTAAAAGGGGGTGGCGGGTTGGGGCAGAGAGAGGTGAGAAGGGAAGGCACACGTCCAGCTCACCTCAAGGGGTTAGTGAAGATTACACATTCTCACAAATTATTTCTGGTTAGGAAAAGTCTAATGGTGAAAGAGACAGCACCGCTAGGATGACAGGTCTAACCCCAGTAGAACTAATCCATCTCCTAGGGAGAGAGGAATGCTTGTCATTAAGAGAAAGTTAGTGGGCCAGCGCCGTGGCTCAATAGGCTAATCCTCCACCTTGCGGCGCCGGCACACCGGGTTCTAGTCCCGGTCGGGGCGCCGGATTCTGTCCCGGTTGCCCCTCTTCCAGGCCAGCTCTCTGTTATGGCCAGGGAGTGCAGTGGAGGATGGCCCAGGTGCTTGGGCCCTGCACCCCATGGGAGACCAGGAAAAAGCACCTGGATCCTGGCTCCTGCCATCGGATCAGCGCGGTGCGCTGGCCGCAGCGCGCCGGCCGCGGCGGCCATTGGAGGGTGAACCAACGGCCAAGGAAGACCTTTCTCTCTGTCTCTCTCTCTCTCACTGTCCACTCTGCCTGTCAAAAAAAAAAAAAAAGAGAGAGAGAGAGAAAGTTAGTGGGCCAGCGTCGTGGCTCATTAGGTTAATCCTCCGCCTACGGCACCGGCATCTCATATGGGCACCGGGTTCTAGTCCTGGTTGCTCCTCTTCCACAGCTCTCTGCTGTGGCCTGGGAAGGCAGTGGAGGATGGCCCAAGTGCTTGGGCCCTGCACCTGCATGGGAGACCAGGAGGAAGCACCTGGCTCCATTTGGGGGGGTGAACCAATGTAAGGAAGACCTTTCTCTCTGTCTCTCTCTCTCTCACTGTTTAACTCTATCTGTCAAATTAAAGAGAGAGAGAGAGAGAGAGAGAGGGAGAGAGAGAGAGAGAGAGTTAGTAACACTGGCTAAGAGGTGGGAGTCTACCGTGTCCCAGGCACCTCACGGGAATATTTCTCGCGTACTCTGTGCAAGGCTGGGAAGCAGCTGCGATCGGCACTCCCGTCTTGCAGATTAAGGATGAAGTGCATTAGCTAAGTTCCTTAGCCAGGGTGCAGAGGACGAGGGATTCTCTAGGCAGACAGGACAGCGTTTGCCAAGGCAGAAAGGAAAGGGAGTCAAGTAGGGAGCGCAGTGAAAAGCGCATCTCTAGAATCTCTGGGGGAAATCCACCACTCAGCTTAACAAAGGACAGTTAACAAGAGCTGCTCCACAGGTGTGCTTCCTTTGATGTCAATGTACTCAGTGCCTGCGGGGGAATGAATCTTCTAGGCAGAGTCGCTTGTAGGGTGAGAAGGTGATAAACACATCGGAATTAAAATATACTACTAGTGCCCTAACGACATTGTCACACACCAGTTCCCTCTTCTGTGTAATCTATGTGAATTATATATGCTGACTCATTCATTTCAACAACAACACCGAGGAAGCTATAATTGGATTTTCATTTACAGGTTCCAACCACAAAACAAACTAAAAAAAAAACAAAAACAGAACTATGAATGGAACCACCAGGCGAACAAGTGGAGTGGGGGTCAGCTGCCATGAGAGGGTGGCAGGGCGATCAGCAAGGGGGTCTCACGGACAGGTCTGTTGCACAGCTCCACTCTTGCTGGGGCCCTAATTCAGCTGTAGAAACTCAGCAATGAGTAGTAAGCAGAAATGAAAAAAAAAAAAAAATGCAGTGACGAGAAAAAGTTGTCCAAATCAAATTGCCAACGTGAAAAAGCA